GGTTGGAAAAATTATAACTATATTAAAAATAAAAAAAATATTTTCAATTTAATTTATTTTTAAAACCATTTAAATATTTTGTTTTAGATAAAACTCAATATAAGATGAAAAAAAATTTGAAAAAAAGAAAAAATTATCTCAAATCATCATATCTATCATATATAAAAATATTATTATAATTTATTACTAGTTAAATGTTTTTATTTAATTATTACAAATATAATTTTTTTAAATACATATTTTAATAGCATACATATTGATTCTTTAGGGCATAAATGCATACATATTTTAAGGTTTTCAAGGGCATGAAGTCCCTAGCCCTAGTTATTACATATTATAAAATACGGTTCCCGATAAGTCGTATTTTTTGGTTACAGAATAACCTACTTACGTGGTACCTTGTTCTTAAATTTCAATCCTTAGCTATGAAAGTTGAACATTTTATAAATGTTTAACTACAAAATAATTTTTAAATTATAAATTTGATAAAATTTGTCAAAATTCGAACTTTGAATGCTTATAAAAAAAAATTGTGTCTACGTATTTTTAATATTTTCAACTACTATTGTTAAAATATATCAGGAGTCTTGTATTAAATTTTTACGCTTTTTGGGCCAACATATGAAATTATTTACTCGAATACAGATTTTGCGTAAAAATCTCCGTTTTTCCTTAATTTTTCTTTTGTTTTTCACGGCGCTTTTGAAAACAACTGCAGAGAAATTTGAAATGCAGTATTAAAAATTAAGGTGAAGTATATGATATTCCTAAAAGCAACTGAAAATTACAACATTTCCGTATACTCAGGGCAACGATCATAAAATAAAATAAAATAATGTTTACGCTCATCGTATAATCCGTAATCTACCAACCTATTTAGTATTTTTGTCAATAATTTATCGTCATTCGTAGAAATACCGATAACGAAAACGATTAGTGTAGTGGTCGCCGCCCGCCGGTCGGCTAAATATATTACGTACGCGGCACGCCGCACGCACGCACATGCACATGTCACTTGAAGCTATTAGATTAAAATATTCAAAACCAACTTATGAACGTGAAATAGTTGTCGCACTGACAAAAATTAAGGTACTTCTATTGGTTCGATTTAAAAAATGTAAAGATGTTTGAGTTGGTAAACAAGTTTACTTTGCATCGGTCGGAGCACTTTTTCAATTTTAACAAATGCTTGACGAGAATAAATATTTATAATAAATATCTTTTTACATGTATTACTAACTAAAAATATATATAATTTTAGTATAAGTATTAAAAATAAAAAAGATAGATTAAAGACATACTACTCAGTTTAAAGATCAATTTATTCTATTAAAATTATTAAACATTAAATAAAACTTACCTTCCAATGGGTTATTTATAAATATTGATGATAAATTATAAAATTAATAGCCAAATAAATCAAAGAAAGTATTATTCAGTACTGTATAAAATGACTGTTATTCTACCATGCATAGTTGATGTGCCAATGAATTTTACAAAATTGTGTTCAAACTAAGTGGCATATGCGTACTTATCGCCTGCCTGCGTATTTCAACTTAAAACTATAATTTATAATATTACATACAAGTATGCTACATATATATATATATATGATATTACGTCAAAATTATTGTGTTTCTATCAGGTATCTTAATACTAGTAGGTACATATTAAATTATTTTTTAATATAGCAAATTACTACTGTTATGTTAACCAAGTTATGTTTGAAGTAAATAAATGAATCTCAATAAAAAGATTTATCTCAAAATGTTGATCAGCTATTACATTTTTTCTCTTATTCGATAATATTCAATAATATTTATCTTATTTAGTAATATCATAAATGGAATATGGAATAATTCTAATAATAATATCCAAATTTCATGAACTTGTTATCGAATGCGGTATTTTACAAAAATATTTTTGTGGTCTTGAAAATCAAAATTAACTTAATTGGGATAAATGAAAAAATAGTACGTTAATTTCAAGTTAATTTTGTAAGGAAATGAGTTAAGTTAATAAGTTAAATGAACTTAACTTTTAAATTAATTTTTAACTTATTAACTCGTTAATGCCCAGGCTTGAGAATAGCTAAGTAAAAATATTGTGCACCCTATACTAATTACGGCATAAGCGTCGTATCAAGTATTACGATTCGTATTCTTATAAAAATGAGAATAAGCTATTTCTGAAATATGGATTTGCAAGGCTCGGAGAGGATTTATGACGTCAACGAAGCCGTATATAAGGAAGTCTGATTTGATACGAAATCATTACAGACGAGTGTTAGTCCGGTTGAGAATCGAGCATATTCATATCGCTCTTTGTCAAAGGTTAAATTAAAAACACATAGAAAGTATTTAAAAAAAAACTATATTTTATTACTATTACCAATATTAAAGAGTATACTAAATCTCTTATCTATTATAAAACACTATTATCTATTGTTTGAGAGCAAGATGAAGCTTATGGCACGTTACCTGCAATAAATATCGCCTTATAAAGAAAAAAATTACTATAAGTATATTGTAAAATCAGTGGCGCCGCGGTGCACGTTTTGATAACCGTTGGTGTAGTCTATATATTACACAGTTATACAACATAAATTACTACATCTAATTATCTACATGATATCTTGTGATTATATTAAAATATAATAGTATTTTATTACATATGCTTTAGCCGGGTTCACACGGAGTCCTAAACTGGGCTAGAATACTACTATTAGGAGAGTTGGTCGTGATCACTACTTGGTGTGAACTGGTAGTCGTGGTAGTAGAAGTCGTCAACGACCAAAAATAGATCGGTCGTGATTACTTCGGCATGTTGGAGTGAACACAACTGGTTTAGTCGTGAATCACTTACCAAATGTCAAATTTTTTCCATATATATACGTATTTATTTCGTTTTTTGTAGGCGTGAAATAATAAAATTTATTAACTTATAATTTATTAATTGAATTAATTAATACATTTTATTTTTATATAATAATAACATTTCCTACCTCAGCGTAATGTCAGTGTACAAAATTAATACAAAACAAACAATTAAATTTGTTGAATTGTATTGCTATGCGGTATGTTTGTGGAAAATAAATTCTGAAATGTACAAGACAGAGATACAAGAGATGGAGCCTTAAAAAAAAAATGCGATGAAATGGGTATCAATGGTTTTGGTATTCATGAAATAGCCCAAAGCTTAAAAATATTAGATCAGTTTATTATCAAGAATTGAAAAAAATAACGCTAAAAAATCAGGAGCATCTGCTATTGATATGTGTGAACTGGGGGTCGTAAATTATCGGTCATACAATTCAAGCAGTCGTGAGACATGCGCAGAACGAGTAGTATTCTCTCCCAATTTACGACTCTGTGTGAACCCGGTTTTAGAAAGAACAAATAATTAAACATTGCTTGACAAACTACGTAAAAATATATTGAAAATATTGAAGCTGTACGAACAGGGGCGGATTGGCAATTATTTTCGGCCCAGGAAATATGAAACAAACCGGCTCATGAGCCGCAAATCAAACTATTTTACCCCTCTCCCCTAACAAAAAAATGCTTTATTTTGCATCGATTTTAAAATTTGTTTAGTTTCACCCCTAAATTAGGAATATTTAAAATAACTTTACTATAGTTATAGCTATAATAGTTTTGGGTAAGTCACATGATGAATCAGTTCCAACTTGAACTTGAAGTTTGATCTTAATGTATCTTTAAATATATATTTATTTTTTTAATGATTTTTATTTCTTATAAAATAAAACTTTTTTTTGGTAATTATATAATAATATAGAGCGGCCCAAACAAGGACCGGACCATTGAAAAGATTCTCGATTTCCCGATAGGCCAATCCGCCCCTATATACGAACAAATAGCATTTATGAAATTACTTTACTGCAAAATTATATAATAATTTATGAAGTTCCTATATTACAATTTTCAAAAATTGAATGATTAATTTTTTTACTTAAAAACACATATAATATAATGTAATATAATATAATATAAAATAATATGCTGTACAATACATTTTTTAATTTCATTAAATTTGAAATATTATAAAATAGTATACAAAATATTTGTTCTATTGTGTAGATCAGCGTTTCCCAAAATCGGTCGCAAAATATTTTTGATGGATTGCTGTTTGTAAACTTATAACAAGAAAAATATCTTAGTTATCAAAATATAATTATATAGGTAGGTTATTATAATTCAGTTTTGCAGTATTAATATATTTGATAAAATTCCTTATAATAATACGATTAGTAATATTATTATATTTAAGCATACTAAAGTTTTTTTTTTTTTTTTGAGAGTCATCTACCCAACACAATTGAGATTTATGGGTCACCTTAACATAAAGGTTGGAAAACATTGGTGTTAATTTTAGATGTCAACAGTGTATTATTTTATGAAAATGTATAGATTTTTCACTTGTATACCACTGTTTTGGCTACATTATTTTATAATTTATTGCATTTACTTAGTACAATTTTAGCTTATAAATATACTTCAAACTAATTATACATTACCGTATATAATTACTATATATAAAAAATGTTCAAATAGTTAATAGTTTTTAGGTTATTCCATTTACGTAATTCTAAATTAAACTATATAAGTTTATGCATTATGCGTAATAAACTACTTGAAGTAGATAGGTATACAAATATTTTTTATTATTTTAATATTACTAACTATAAACATATAAGAATGATATTTATATACTATAATTTATTCAACTAATGTGTAAAACTAAAACACTATTTTAATTTTTGTAAGAAGATTAAATCGGACCTGGCTAAGAGATCTACTAAAATAATCTGTCGGGTGGCACTACTCAGTAGCCCTCCCATTCTGTTAAATTCCGTTATTGTAAAAATGTATGTAAAAAAATTACTTAGTGTACAAATTTGATATAGATTGTAATTATTTTTTTTACAAAAAAAAAAAAAAATTATAAGTATACAATAATTATTTTCGGTGACAATTTGTAATATACATTACAGCTTTTTTCGACATATGCATTTATTTTATTTTACACGATCATTTAAAATAATTTTGGCCATTTCCAACAGACTGTTCTAATGCAGTTTCCAGTGAAATTCGTTTACATTTTGGTACATCATTCAATGATAAAAGATTTTCGGAACATAATGTGAACTGAGAAATAATGTATAATTCATCCAGTATGCCTAAAATCATATAATGAGAGTTATATTGACAGTAAAATATTTATCAATCGTATACGTACCACTTTTACATCCGAGTTGATAAAATCCATCGTCCGTCCTTCTGAGAATCACAGCAGTAATATATCGAGGTTCTCTGAACTTTCTGCTCAAATCGATAACTTTAATTCGAACTGAAGAACCTTTTGTTCCTACACATTGACCATTGGATAATTTTTTATATTTTTTTGTTTGTATTTCAAATTTTTCATTCACATCTTGCCTGTCTTCTCTATGTTTTCGTTTTTTATTTTGTTTTGATGACTCTGCAATTGATTTGTCAATTTCACTTGCGCTATTTTCAAGTGTAATTTCTTGTAGTACTTTATCTGACAATATATTCGATGACAAATGAGTCTGTGGATCAGTTCCAAACATCTCATTAAATGAACTTTTTTTAGTTCCAAGGTAATGTACTTTATTTTTTATAAACTGAACGAACCTAAGTCCTTCGCTCCATTTACTAGTCATATTATCTTGCATCCAAGTTATCAATATATTTTCTACGTCTTGCTTTGTATGTTCAATGTTCTTCTGCGACTTCCTATGCTGTGACTTCTCATAAATTATATTTAAATCGGGCCACGTTTCGCGTAGTATACATAACATTTCTTTTCTGAAATCCCTGTGTTTATCTGTTTGGAGAATAACCGGTGCACCAAACAAACAAAAAATATCTAATAACACATCTGCGACTTTTTTAGCTTTATTTGAAGTTAAAGGTCTTAAAATGCAAAATTTTGTCGAATGGTCTTGATACACGCATATGTATTTATAATCACCATCAGGTAGTGATTGAAAATCGATGAAGTCAATTATACAACGACTATGAAAATCTTCGAAACCAATAGGTTTAACAAAACCTTTATTTTGTAAATTTTTTTTTTGTTTACATTTAATACATAAACTTAGATAAAGTTTTATTTCAGATTTGCCAATATTTTTATACCAAGTTTTTACTAATTCAAACATCGCACGTTTATTTTTTCCGTGCCCGATCGACTGATGAAAATTGTGTAAAATATCAAACAAATCGTCCACTATAGCGTATAATTTGAAATGAGGATGTTTTTTACTTACTGGACAAATTAATGTTTCAACACCGTTTAGTACCATAATACCATAACGCTTGGCAAGCATATAATTCCGAGATTGTATGTTTTTTACGTCCGATATTAAATTGAAATATTGATCGCGACTTAAAAGTTTACTGTTTGATTTGCACTCGCGATATTGCATAGTATCATCAAATTCCTGTTTCATGATAATTTCATCAACCATATTGAAAAAAGTCAGATATAAATTACAACCAATAGAATGTTAATTTCCCGAAGATTCGAAGAATGTGTTTTCATATATTTGTACACACACGTTTTGTCTGTTAATAAAATATAACAAATATAGTGGTAGGTAATCGATACGAGATGTCTATACGTTTATGTTACAATGGAAACTGACGAGAAACAAAAATACATCTCGGGCTTATATAGAAAGTTTATAAAAAAAAAAAAATTAAAAAAATAATCTTTTGAACAAGGTGCATTTGTCAGGAAAATGTATTGGCGAAATGTTATCTTATCTTTATAATATCCTATCAGTAAAATGTTCCTGAACAATATCGAAAAATATACTTGAATAAAATTATAGATTACGTATTTTATCGTATTGATTTGGTAATTATATTAATCACTAAATATTTAATGAAATAACACTATGTAAAACTAATTAAACGCTAAAAAATATATCTATATTGATTATATTTTTTAAATGTATACATTAGTGGATTGACAGTCAAATTACTTACAGTTAGAACAATAATATTTTTTTTTCGAAATAAATTCGTGGGTTAAATTATTAAAGAACATCAAAACACTAAAAATATGTTTGCTTCGATTTTCAATACGTTACAAACTGAAAAATATGGTGAGCATCTCACACTTTAACTCCAATCTTTCAATGAGAATTTATGAAATGCAAGCGTTTGAAAATATGAGTGGTCATCATAAGGTCAAATCCAAACGATGGCGATGATTTATGTATTAAATTGTTTAGATCAATATAACTTTTTCAATCGTTAAACATAATATTAAAAATACAAATTCAAGAAGTATGGAATGAATGAAAACTCAAAGCATGTTATTAATTTATAGCATATAAAACAACAAAGAACTATTATATTTTAGTGGAAAATAAAAATAGGAACTATATGGTAAGATTTAGGTAAAACTGTTCATGTGATTATAAAATAATGAGCCCTCCATTACATTTTCAAAGTCTGGCGTCTGTAAATATTGACCATCGGTATCAAGCATTAGCATTAATTTTATAATATTTGTTTTTTTAGTTCTTATTTAAAAAAAATATAATCTGTATAATTTTTAACGATTAATATAATAGTTTTTACAATAAAAAAAGGTGTGCGGTTTGTTCTTATCATATTTTCAGGTAATGATCAGAAGTGTGAAGGTTATCGGCACAAGAATAGTGTACAGTTTTAACCCATGAAAAGTGTGCGGGTTTTTTACCGTGTTTTATTCGGTAATACTCGTTTGTACAGAGTATACAATTTTTTACCTGGAAATTGATAACTGGCTTGCGCACAACGAAAAACGTGAAAACCAGCTAATACAAATTTTGATCTGAAAAATGACGACTCGTTTGCGTATAACTATTGAATCTCATTCCCAGTATAGACTTTTATTGTATCTTGCAGCGCCTTTTAATAGTACGATTCATCTAAAACAGCGGTTCTCAAACTGTGGTACGCGAACTACTAATGGTACGAGAAAGACTACATGGTGCTACGCAAAAGACCGGATGGTGGTAAAAAAGAAATTAAAAATTCAATATTTAACTCATATATTAATTTAAATTTTTTTTCATTACATTATAGTCAAATACTAAGTGTTTTATACTAATTTATTTTATTATTATTCATTGATTTTACTCACATATACCTATGGTTCACAAGAAATTTGTTTTCTTATATTATCTAATCGCTTCTAAATAAAGATAATTCGGTCGGGACTAGATATTGTAATCTATATTTTGAGTAGGTTTTCGTGGACCATATTTTAGTTATGTTTCATTTACATTTCACGATATTGTGTTTTTGTTTCTTAATAAAATGTCAAAAGTACAATCGTTTGTTTGTAAATATGTTGCGGAATTCGGAGAATATATTTTTGCATCTGACTTTTTTGTCAAGTATGTGAAATTAAAATTAATAGTGTAAAGCGCTTTACTTTCACACAACATTTGAAAACTTATAAATACATCCAAGTTATTAATTGAAAAAATAAATCAAATTTCAATCATTTTTAGGCATCCAATATACTATCAAAATATTTCGAAATTCATCAAACAGTTAAATGCAACATAAGTACATATTACAGTACAGTTATTTCAATTGGGTATTTATTAAATTTGTTTGTTCCGTTATAATTATTTAATAAATTATATACATTTTTAAGCTGAATACATTTAATTAACTTGTATTTTTGTTTGCATATTTTAATGATAATCAGTGCATAAATGCTTGCATATTTTGTACGATTTTAGTGCGTATAATTCCGGGCCCTAGTTATAAGATTACAATAAGTGGAATAAAAAACCTTAAAAGCGTCCGGCGATTAACCACACGAGGCAATAAGAAAAATGAAGGTGTCAAGTTGGAATACATCAAATTTCTAAAGACATATCTACTCATATTTATACAAGAATTTGGACATTACATGACTTTTGAGGCTTAGTAGGAAAAATGTAAAAGTCGGTGATATGACGTAAGCTGTTGACATATATAGTAATGTAAATAAATGGTATTGCTATAATAAATACAATATCAGTGTCTTAGTAGTATATAGTTATTTTTGAAAGTAAAAGCTTATCTGTATTTTCTACATTTATCTCTAAAGGCATATCCGTCCCTATGAATAATGAAACCTTAAAATATTTAAATTGGTCAAATAATTCATAAGATCCTAACAAATGTGAGTGAATTTTTGACAATTGTATTATTTTGATTAAATTATTTGTTCTGAAACGTACTTGATTATTATAATATTTAGACAAGTAAAATGTTATGAAATGTGATTGTTAATGTATTGGTCAATAGTTATGTTACGTAACTCATCTTTAATCAATTCTGCTTATATAACTTTAAATGATTATTTTTTTTGTTTGAATTTAATTATCTTGATTTATTATTTTAATTTGATCGATATCGGTTCCTAACAAATGTTTAATTTCTGACATTATTTTCTGTTAACAATGCATATCACATACACTACAAAGAAGTTAATAAGCTTATTTAAACCCTTTACCAAATGCCGTTTGAGTCTTGCGCTATGTCCAATAGACAGTGGTGTATTGGTAAATATATTTATGGGTATACGCGCCTAAAAATAGTTTAATATACCTATATATGCCTACCAGTGGCGAATCCAGAAATTTATCAAGGGGGTTATTAATCTGAAATCTGAAAAAATGGTATATAATAATGGGATAAACCTATTTTTTTCACAAGTCACAATGTAATAAATTTGTATATAATAAACTCAAGGATGGAGAGGGGGGTATTTACCCTATTACCTCCCCTTAAATTCACCACTATTGCTTACCTTAAAAAATGTTCTCGCTTCACTCGAAAAATCATTACACTTAGTATTTAATAATCTTTTATTACTTTATTACAAATACTTACCCTTCATGTGTATATGGATATGCAGTGGCGTATATAGTGCCAAAAGGCACCGCCTACTATTATTTGTAAAAAAAAACAATAAATCATTCAGTGTTGGGGAACGGGAGCCCAAATGTTGTGAAAAATAATAATAATAATAATGGTAATACAAAATATATAAGTATAACAATAAAACGAGGTGCCGTATGGGCAATAATAGAATAATTAATACCAAAGTGCAATATTGGCAATAATACAATAAAAGGCATGACCTGATCGGTTGACCACGACAAAACACCCGAGCTGACGTTGCCCTCTGGATCGACCTGACTAAACGACTACTGTCCGCCGCAAACCCACGAACCGCGACACCACAGGACAGACAACAACGGCCGTTGACAACTTCGCACTTTGGTTAATTAAAACACGACCGGCGAAAAGGAAATAAAACGCACAAGCGACTGGACGATGTTTCGTGCGACGACCGGCGGTACAAAAAAAAACACGTTGGCGGCTATGTGCCGTACTAGCAGGTGAACACACGACAACCGCGACAGTTGTCCAGCCGGGTGGTGAACAGGCCGTTAAAATAATCGCGGCCGCGGTTATCGGGGAAAAGGCCGTAGATACGGTAAAAATAAGTTTATATGGCAACCAGCTCGAACAGATACCATGACTGAATTGTCTGATGATAAATTAGAAGTGTGCGTATACCCATAAAAGACTAATTTTCTTAAAGGTATACGCATAAATCCAAAAATAGGGATCCGAGTATACGACGTATACCCGCGTATACCCTGCAATACACCAATAGACGAAAAAATTAAATCACTTTTATTTGTGATATCTTTTGCTACAACAGTTATAGCTTCCAGGAATTTGCCACAGTTTAAATCGATATTCAAATTAATATTTCAACACATTTCACCTGTTTTTTTTTTTTTTTTTTTTTTATTAGTTAATCGAAATTCTCACAAAATTGGTTGTAATTTGTTAAGTTTAAGTAACCCGATAACTCATAACTGAATTGTCGATATTTTTATCGGTCCTTGATTTTTGTAGTTAAGTTTGGTTTGTTGGTTTAACTTTATGATATTTAACTACCCTATTCCAAATACAATATGTATAATAGAAAATGAAATAGCACTCTAAAAATAAATAAAAATAAAAATAAATGTTTTTTTTTAATATGGTCTTACTAAATTAGAACATAAGAAATTTCGTACTCAAATGGATCAGAAAATTCTAACATGGGTCTATCATGGGTCATACAACGTAAATTTAATTATAAAAAAAATTAAAATAAAGAATTCATTTCAATTTAAAAAAAACATTTCAAAAATTATTCTAAAAATTGTTAAAACAATTGTTATTTATTATCTTTACAAAGAACAACAATTTTAAAATTTTAAAATAACAATTTAACATTATTTTTATACATACTATGATCCCGTTTTCCCTTTGTAATTCGTTTTTTTTATTACCGCTAATAGGAAATTAAATGGTGACACTGAATTTTGTATAATATTATCTTTTTTTATAATTTTTATTTGTTTTAAATTTACTCTTGGTAAGCTCAGGAAGGTTTATATGGTCGTAT